AAACTGGGTGGAAAAAAACACCAAGTAAGAGTTTTGAATGATCGAATTAGTTATTACATAAAATGCTTTTAAACTAGTTGATCTGAAGTCCAGTTAGAGAGATTTGGGGACAAATCTTTGTCCTAGATGCAAGTCAGAGATACAGAAGAAGACCCAAGGCCTGCTCCCTTGAGCTCCCAGACCAGTAAGGAGTCCAACACCTGCCCTCCTGGGAAAACAGTACAATGGAGAAACACAGGAAAAAGTGAGAAGAAGGTGCAGAGAAGGAGTATCTAATCTGCCAGTGCTCTCTCCCACCAGCCGTCTTTGCCTCCATCCTCCTCCACCTCTGCTTGGGTTATCACATCAGCCTCCTAACTGGCTTCTCTTCTGCCTTCCAAATCACCCTCCATGCAGCTGATATTTTGATCTTCTTTAAAATGTAGTGCTCTTCCTGTTGTTTACCTGTTTAACACCAAACAGTCCCCATTCCCGTTCTGCACAGAATAAGTGGTACTCAGAAAAAGAAGTCCAACTCTGCACAGGATCTGGTCCCTAGCTGCCTCTTCAGCCTTGCTTCCCAAAACTTTCCTCCATGTGCCATGCTCCAAACTTTCTACCCTTCTCCTTGCCACCTGGCCCTTTCCTTCTTGACATACACTGGTGGCTTTCCCGGGGTTATCCATCTCAAAGACATTCCCTGCACACCTCACCTAGTGGGAGCCAGGGAGGAGTGTGGGAATTGGAAATCTTATGAGAAAAGGCTATGTTGTCTGGGTTGACTATCCAAGCTGGGTTTTTCTGTTGATAAGAGACGGACAGCATATTAGCTTCTCCCTGGCCTCCAACTTCTGATTCTTGAACTTGTCTTTCTCTTCTCCTTGGCTGATAAATTCCTGGCATAGCTTTCTCAGTGATATCATACCAGTAGAGTTTCATCCTATCTCTTTTGGCATCAAGAAATGGAAGCCTACTTAAATTAGTCAATAAAGAGTGTTTTCGTGATAAAAATGCTTAGATGTCTAGGAGCAAGATCAGTAAAGGAGTTCCTCTCGCCCTCATGCTCACGGAAACTGAAAAACTGACAGGGGCTCACTTTTGTATTTAGGGACCACGTACTCTCTCATCTTCTTTTTCAGTGTCTCTCTCTCTCCCCTCCTTTCCTATCAGCTTTCTTCTCCTGGGCCTCTCCAAGTGGTTGGGAGTGTGGCTTTGTGCAGCTATGCATCACACTCAACCAGAGAGCAAAGGGAGCTTCCTGGCTCACTTCACATGGGAAATTCTAGGAAGAAGCTCTTACTAGTTGGGCTCAGTTCTCAAGATTACCCCTAGATGGGTCACTGACCAGGGAAATAACATATTCTGATTGTCAAGACCTGGTACTTGTGCTGTCGCGTGTAACCAGGGTCAGAGTGTTTTGACTAACAAGTCATATGCAAACCACAATGGTTGAGCAAAGGAAGAGTTGCTTGAAAAAGAAGAAGTGCTACTAGCTGGTTTCCCTTTGTCTTCAGCTCAGTTCAGTTCAGTCACTCTGTCGTGTCCGACTCTTTGCGACCCCATGACTCACAGCACACCAGGCCTCCCTGTCCATCACCAACTCCCGGAGTTTACCCAAACTCATGTCCATCGAGTCGGTGATGCCATCCAGCCATCTCATTCACTCTTGTCCCCTTTTCCTCCTGCTCCCAATCCCTTTGTCTTACTTCCAACTTATCTGATAATTCACCAGTTCCCTTATTAAACCTTATAATAATACTTGCTTACTTACCATTGCTGTGGAAGTAAGTACTCATCACAGCATGAGAGATCCGCCATTAGTTAATGCCAGTGTTCTAGCCTTGTTTCCAGCCAAACACACTGTTCTTCAAGTACAGCCTCTCTCTCTCTCTCTCTCTCTCTCTCTCTCTCTCTCACCTCATGCGCTTTCAGAATTGTCATGTCCTATAAAGGCGTTTCTCATCCCTGTTAGATGAGTATGTCCATGTTGAAGTCTGAAAGTTCTTTTTCCTAATTCTTTTATGGATCATATTTTTCTCTGCCTTGCACTACAGTTATTTGTTTGTGGCCCGCTGTCCACTTGGGAACAGGGGCCATGCCCTACTCTTCTTGCCTCTGTCTGATGTTTTATACAGATCCCAGGAGGCATTCAAGAAGTATTCCTTTAAACAAATAGATTTAAGCATTTTTTTTTAAAGAAAATGATAGAGATGCACCTAAGTTTTCTAGGATTTTTATATTATTCAATCTTGATTAATATTCCTTTACCTATTGAAAAGAGCTTAACAAAAGTTCAAAAAAACCACACGCTGAGTGAACACTTTAAATGCCTAAAAGCATACTCTGCCTTAACACCTATCTATGCTTCATGACACTTTCTAATAGACATTCCTTTTGATTTTACATTTAAATTATCTGTTCATTAAATCAGATCTTTTAAAGTGATATAAAAATGTCATTTTCCCTAGATGCATGTTCACTGAGTATTGGGAAGAACCCATAAATATGTATTTTTAATAATTGGCCCAGATCAAGGGTTGTCAAACTATAGCCATTGGTAAATCTAGCCCAATGTCTGACTTCATAAATAAAGCCACACACCCATTTGTTTCGATGTTGTATTTGGTTGGTTTCTCCCTATAATGGCAAAGTTGAGTAGTTGTTTTAAAAGGCCATACAGCCTAAGAAACCTAAAATATTTACTATCCAGTCTTTTGCCCTTTGCTTACCCCTGCCCTAGATGACTCTACTGACACAGCTAATCCATGTAACTTTATAAGGTTATTATGAGGATTAGATGAGCTCATGTAAAGCCTTTGTAACTAAGTCTGGAAATACATACCTGCTCAATAAATGCTAGGTGTTGTGTTTTCTTTTCATCTGCTAACGGCATAAACTGCTTTAGTAAATTTCCTAACTCTCTTTGCATTCCTATAATGAATCCAACTTGATCATAGTGTATTGTGTGGTTATATTTGCTAATATTTAATTTAGGGATTTAAAATTCTCTGTTTGAAACTGACATTAACGCATGGATTTGTGTGTTTTGTCTTGTTTTGGTTTTGGTATTCTTGTCTGATGTGAATATTAAAGTAAACTGTACTTTCAGAATGACCCAGAGATATTTTGCCTTTTAAGCTCTGAGACAGAGTATATAACACAAGAGTTTTCTTTCTTTGGTCATTCGGTCACACTCACCCCTGAAACCAGATTCTTTACCATTTGAGCCACCAGGGAAGCCCTTCTCTTATCTGTGCTGCTGCTGCTAAGTCGCTTCAGTCGTGTCCGACTCTGTGTGACCCCATAGATGACAGCCCACCAGGCTCCTCCATCCCTGGGATACTCCAGGCAAGAATACTGGAGTGGGTTGCCATTTCCTTCTCCTCTCTTGTCTGTAGTTATGTCCAATTCTCATTCTAAGTGACATTTACTTATAACTTTAAGTTTTTAGTTAGCAATATTTTTTGATTGATCTCTTTTTTAAATCAACTTTGTTACTGTTATCTATTCATGTAAGTTAGGAATATGTTTGACTACAATTAACATTAAGCTTGACTTGTAAAGGCTTAAGAAATGGGTGTTTACTTTTGTCAAATAACCAGAAGTCAAGAGGTAACTTTCTTTGGCATCCATGTGTCTGTTCAACATTGACCCCTAAGGTGGAGGCTCACTCTATCTTCCTGCTCTGCCATCATTGGCACATGGGTTTCGTTCTCAAGCTTGTGGCTTTGAAACAGGATGGCTGTTTCTCTAGGTATCATTCTAGAAAAAAAAATTGCAAAAAAAGAAAGACAGGGGGAATAGTCTTTCTTGTATTGAAGCTTTCTCTTTTCAGGAGTGAAGACTTTTCCTCTCACACAGCAAATTTCCCCCACTTCACTGCTCAGAACAAGTGCAAGTATAAGAAAGACTGAAATGGAGAATTTTGCTTTCTAGATTCTTCAATAGACAAAGTCAAGGACAGTGAGGAAAGAGGGACTGAGCATACAGTGAGTTGCCTACCAGATTGGCCACCTGGCCATTAACATCTTTGTTTACCTATGTTACATCCTGTCCTCTAATCCGTTACTAATCTGCCATAGTAAAACCATCTATTTTAGTATTAGTGGATTTGATTTATGCATTTCCAAATCATGTTGCTAGGTACATGGTAATCTAAAATATCTCTGGCCTGCTTTATGTTTTTCATCTCAGATGAAAGCAGTCTATAGTGACTGTTGCCACACCAACAATCATTTGGTTGACATTTTCCTCATCTATTATTTTTCATCTCTCTTTTTGATCTTTCTGTATCATTAAACAATATAAATAACATACAGCTGGTTTTACCTAATTTGGGTCTTGGTTTTTTAATAGGGGGCTATAATGCATTCAGATGTATTTTAATTTTTTACATGTATGGATCTCCACCAGACATCTTATTTAATGTTTCTTATCAGTTTTTTCTTGCCTTTTGTTTTATTAATACAGTTTTCTTCTATCTAAACTTCTCTAGCAGTTTGGAAATTATACGACATTGTACTTTTATTTCACTGGTTACTAAACTTACATTTTTACTTTAACATTTGAAGATAATCAATATTTTTTTAATTCTCTAAACAAAACAAGAATATAAACATGTCTTTACAGTGTATTCTCAGTGTCTCCCATTTTTCATTTATTGTATATACAATAATAGATATGGTTACCACATATTGATATATCCTGTATTTACTTATAATTATATAATTATCAGATTATTGTTGTTGTTCAGTCACTAAGTCATATCCAACTCTGTGACTCCATGTACTGCAGCACTCCAGGCTTCCATGATAATTTAGGTGTCTAGACTTAACTGAACATGGAAGCTTAAGCTGTCAGTGGGCTGGGAATCAGAACCTCTTAGGCCAGGGAGAATAGGTTCCTTCCCCAGGCCTAGTTAGAAATCTCACACAGATGTATCACATGCTGAGAGAGATGATACATTCAGATTGGCCTCCAATCCTGAAGGTCAGCTTCTCTCTTGTCCCCTCTTACCCTAGATCCCATCCCACACCCCCAGATCAAGATTCATTCATCATCTAACACATCAGGCTGGTGCAACATCAGTCTAGAGTGTGAGATCCCAGGAAACACAGGGAACCTGACAGTCATCTGGCTAAGCCAAGGCCTCCCCAGGCACCTGGAACAGAGAGGGATACCCCCCAACTCCAAGAACCTAAGCCTGAGCCTGCCTATCAGCCACATCAACAGCCACCTCACCTGTGTGGTCAGCAACCCTGCAGAAGAGAAGAATGCAACCCTACACCTGGAGGACATCTGTCCCTGGAGGGGTGAGTGTGATCAGCTAGGAAGGTGATCAAAATGAGCCAGCAGAGACTAGGGGAGGGTAAGGCTGGTAAGTCTCAAAGAAAATGGAGGTTGGGCGGGGGCGGACTGAGGAACATTTTAAGGCAGTTTATGTGATGCAACCAAAACTTCCCCACCTCAGTGAATGGCCACAGCCTCATTACAGTCTTGAAACCTGCAAATCCAGAAACTGAACCAATTATGGAGACTAATGCTTCACCCAGAACATAAATGTGAGACTGGAGTGTGTGCACCCCCTTTCCCAACATCAATGAGCCTGGGAGGCTGAATTAAACATCAGATCTGAGCAGAGGAAGAGAAAGATCTGAGGAGTAAAGACTGAGGAACTCAGGGCATCCTGCCCCAACCGTGGAATGCTCCTGTCACCAGACTCTGACCCTTACCCTGGGTGGGCAGGACTCGCATAGCACATTCAGGCTGACAGATGCCCAGTTTTTTGTTGCATTCCAGACTTGCCCTTCCAAAGGATGGTTACCACCTCTGAGTACATAAACCACAGTTCAACCCTCCTCTGAGCAGTGTGAGAACCTGTGGTCACTACAACCGATTACTATACTTTCCCCATCAGCCTAGAGCAACACCTTGGTTACATAAAGGGACTAAGTGGGGTGGGTCATGGGGTGTGAACCCTTACAAAGAAGCCTCAGACTGTGGCATTGTAAAATGCCTAGGGAAAGAAGTCCCCTACTTTCCCTAGGAATATAAAGCAGGAACAACTGATGTTAAAAAGAAGGTGTAATTACTAGTTTAGCTGCCCCATCCCACCAATGCCCTCCTGACCCCTACTTGCTCATGTGGGGCTCTTGTCTGAAGTCTCTTTCATCTCGTTTCCTCACTCACTTAGATTTCAAACCTCACACTGAGTACCTACTGGGTACTGGTGAGGGGGGAAAGGCTCAGTGAAAAATAAGATAAATCCTTGTCCTCAAGGAACTTACAGTGCAGTGAGGGCTTCACCACATGCTGGCTGTGAGACTTGAACAGGTTACTTAATTTTTATAGCTTTTCCATAATATGGATAATAATTGTATCTACTTCACAAGGTTCTTGTGAGAATGAAAAGAAGTAATCTGCCAAGAGATATCAGTGCAGTATCAAATATCAGTAATATCATATCAGAGATATGCAGTAATCTGCAGAGATATCAGATATCTGCTATGTGTGTGGCACACAGCATGTCAGTAATTATCAGAAGATAGTTCAAAGAAGGGGAAGAGCAAATTTCTAAATATAAAAACAAAAAACAGCAAAACTCTATAAAGCAAGTATCCTTCAATTAAAAAATTAATCATTTAAAGAAACAGATGTTAAACAATTAAGTGGAAGAAAATACAAAGTATATGGTTTGGGTATGAAAGAAAGGAAGGAAGAGAGGAAGGGAGGGAAGGAGGGAGGAAAGAAAGAAGGAACGAAAAGAAAGAGGGAGGGAGAAATGGAAAGAGGGAAGAAGGAAGGAAGAAAAAGCTGAGCAACTGCTTCCTGATTTGGGAAAGGCATCACAGATACGAGAACACATGAGATGGGCTTTGAAGGGTGAATAGGAGTTTTCTTGTGGGCTTGTAGAAAAGACATCCCAAACAGAGAAAAGAACAATCCTAAGGTCTATCCTAGAGTCCTTTATCCCTTCTTCCTCTTAGAGCGTATTTTTCTTCTGGGAGTCTGAGGAAAGAGGCAGGTGGAGAGGATGAATAATGTCACAAACAACTAATGGAGGCCCCTGAGGGTCCTGTTCAGAGATCGGACAGAAAGTCTGGTGATGAAACATTATAGTAATAGTGGTTAGTGTGTAGAGATACTGGAAAGGAAGAAACTTGTCAGAGCTGAATCAAGGATGTACACTCAGGACACAGGCTCTGAGCCAGGGGGGTCCCACCTTCTCCCCATTGCCTACCCAACAGGCCTGACTGAAGCAGATCTGACACCAGCCTTTGACTCCAGGTTCTCTTCAGAGCAAATGGCTTTGGCTTTGCATCCTACTCATGGTTCTGATGGTGAGCCTAGGGGCTGGAGTGTGGATCTGGATGAGAAAGAAGATGCAGACCAGGAGAGGCAGGTGCTGGGTAGACCCTGAGGGGAGGGCTTGGATGAGGGGGTTCTGGGGGAAGGGAGTAGATCAAGACCCCAGGGAGGGCGGCAGGGCAGTGGGCAGGTAGAGGCTCATTGACCTCTTCTGTGAATCGTTCCTGATAGAAGCCTGGGGTAGAGCAATGCTGGAGGCGGGAGCTACGTGCATGCCCAGAAAGGAAAAGCAGAGGAAGGCAGGGACAAGACAGGAGTCTGGGACCTGATCCATGACTGGCAGAGCAATGACTGCTCTCACTCAAGGGCTTACGAGGGATCACCTCCAATTCCATTCATTCTCACTGAGCATCTGCTGTACATAGGTGGGTCCACTCTCCTGTCAATGGCTCCCCAAGCCCTTCCGACAGAGGAATCTACGAACCTTCAGACTGGTGTGACCAACAGCCTAGACCCTCCCTATGAAGAGATCAGCATCCTGAGACACCATAAGGTGGGTCCAAGGGAATCAAATCATACCAGTTCTGCTATGTGCTCAGAGGCAATAAGTCTGGGGAAACCCAGAGTATTCTATTCCCTATCACATTCTGGGCCCAGTCCTGGCTTTGGACAATATGGTTGCTGTGCTTGGCTACCCACAGCATGCTGGGAGCTGAGGTGCCAAGTTAGGAAACCACCGATGGGGAGCATACTCTATTCATATGTCCACAGCCTCATCACATCCTCACCAGTACCCAAGGAGGAGGGTTGGCAGAGCAGAGAAGTGTAAATGACCAGGTGTCTGGTAGACCCCATCACCTATATGACTCAAGGAAGTAAAAGGAGGACACCCTAGCAGGTCCAGGATTGAAAGCAGACCTAAGAAGCTGAGGAGCATCAGGAAAAGCTCAAAGTCTTTCTCTGTCCTATCTACCTGAGATCCTACCACTAATACCACATCTTTAGGTAAATGTTTTGATGCCCTCCCATTGATGAGGTGTTCCTAGGAGGGCATCTCATGTTGGCTACTGACCCTTGGTTGGAAATTGGTGCTATGGTCATAGATGGAACGATTTCACCAGCGGCGAAGAACTGAAGACAGAGATTACAGGAGGAAAAGAAGACATCTAAAGGACTTCTCAGAGCAATGATTCTCAAATAGAGCTTGCATCAGGAACACCTGAAGGGCTTGGTAAAAATGAAGTTTTCTGGGCCCACTCCAAGAGTTTTTGATTCAGTAGGTCTAAGGCAGCCCCGAAAACTTGTATTTCTAACAAATTCCCAAGTGATACTGATCCCAAGTGACCCTGGTCCCACATGTTGAGAACCACTGGATGAAAAGGGTGAGCAGAAGAGAAGCAGGGATGCCCAGGAGTAGCCAATGGCCAAGTCCTCTCCTCTCTAATCCTTTGACTTCCCCAAAGAGGGGACAATGCGAGATGATTGTGTCACAAAGCATCAGGATCTGGTCCAGTCCCAGCAGGTTATAGTAGGGGAAAGTGAGACATAGAGGGAATATTTTGACTTATCAGAGAACCATGCAAATGAGGCAGAATAGTGGTGTCTTCATTCTCAGCCTAGTCTTCCATGCACTGTCCCCAACTGCCTCAGTGCCCTCCACATAGTGACTTCCCATGGCAGCCCCTCTGGGTTATGTCCTTACCTAGCCTGGGCCTCGGGGAACTTAGGAAATTGTTCATTGTGACCCAAACCCTAATACCCCTACAGAGAAGCACAGGAGGGGAACAATGAGTGATTTTGGGATAGAGAAACTGATGAGGCAACATCTGACCCAGACATGCAGCCCCATGCTGAAGCTTCTGACACCTCAGTTTCTGCCCTTGGGGAGATCCCAGTCTAGTGGAGAAAATAAACTCCCTTCAAGGAGACAGGAAGCTAAGTGCAAAAAAGATGACGGTGGCATAAAGAAGAGTCTGGGGAAATGGATATGAGGCTCTGATACAGATTTCTTTTCTTTTTTTTTTTTTAATGAAGTATAGTTGACTTACATTGTTGGGTTAGTTTCTGGTGTACAGCAAAGTGATCCAGTTTTAGATAGATAGACATACTTTTTCATATTCTTTTCCATTATGGTTTGTTACAGGGTACTGAATATAGTTCCCCATACTGTATAGTAGAACTTTGTTGTTTATCATTTCTATATATAGTATTTTTTGTCTACTAATCCAAAACTCCTGATTTATCCCTTCTTACCATCCCCCTCTCCCCTTAGTAACCATACTTTCATTTTCTATGTCTGTGAGTCTGTTTTTGTTTCATAAAATGAGTTTGTGACACAGACTTCTTGATCAACTCCGGAAAATCACTTCCCTCCCTCTGCCTCAGTGTATTCTCCTATAAAATGAGGATTACAGTATAATAGCTTGCATTTACCTGACACTTTTCAGCTTTTCACAGCAACTTTTGCAATGAGAGCAAAGTGATTTGCAAATTAAAGTTCATCAAATATCTGTTGAGCACCTACTGTGTTCCCTGAATTGCTTTTATCTGAGCTACGAAAGTCTACAAAGCAAGAAAAGTCCTTGGCCTCATAGAATATTCTAGGTTGAGGGAATGGAGAGTGAAAAATCAATAAGCAAACCATCAAGTTCTGGGTGATGATAAGTGTTAGGAGAAAATAGAGCAGAAAAGAGAGGTGGGATAGGTAGTGTGCAATTTTAACTAAGCCTGTCAGGGGAAAACTCACCAAAAAGAGAGACCCTGAAAGACATGAGGGGGTGAGAAAAATGGAGGTCTTGGATTAGGGAGAGAGACTTAGCATCTTGGGTAGAAGACAGAGCAAGTGCAAAGATACTACAGTGTTCAATAGAGAGTCTGTGCTGAAGCTGTATTTGGGGGAGTTATCAGGCTTGAGAGCCAGAACTACCTGGGTGAAGACAAGAAGCTCATAAACAGATGTAACTTGACTGATCCTTATACTTGATGCTTAGAAATTGATCAAGACCACTCCTAAACTCTGCTTGAATTGTAGGAAGACTTGGAGAAGGGCAACTGCCGCTCACACAACCCTGAGTATACTTTGACCGTCCACACTATCTACGAGAAGATCCGAACAAGTCCAGAACACCAGGGTGATGCTTCAGTTCAGTTCAGTCGCTCAGTCGTGTCTGACTCTTTGCAACCCCATGAACTGCATCACGCCAGGCCTCCCTGTCCATCACAAACTCCCGGAGTTTACTCAAACTCATGTCCATCGAGTCGGTGATGCCATCCAGCCATCTCATCCTCTGTCGTCCCCTTCTCCTCCTGCCCCCAATCCCTCCCAGCATCAGGGTCTTTTCAGATGAGTCAACTCTTCACATGAGGTGGCCAAAGTATTGGAGTTTCAGATTCAGCATCAGTCCTTCCAATGAACACCCAGGACTGATCTCCTTTAGGATGGACTGGTTGGATCTCCTTGCAGTCCAAGGGACTCTCAAGAGTCTTCTCCAACACCATAATTCAAAAGCATCAATTCTTCAGTGCTCAGCTTTCTTTGTAGTCCAACTCTCACAACCCTGGAAAAACCATAGCCTTGACCAGATGGACCTTTGTTGGCAAAGTAATGTCTCTGCTTTTTAACATGCTGTCTAGGTTGGTCATAACTTTCCTTCCAAGTAGTAAGCGTCTTTTAATTTCATGGCTGCAATCACCATCTGCAGTGATTTTAGAGCTCCAAAGAGTAAAGTCTGACACTGTTTCCCCATCTATTTGCCATGAAGTGATGGGACCAGATGCCATGATCTTAGTTTTCTGAATGTTGAGCTTTAAGCCAACTTTTTCACTCCTCTTTCACTTTCATCAAGAGGCTTTTTAGTTCCTCTTCACTTTCTGCCATAAGGGTGGTGGTGTCATCTGCATATCTGAGGTTATTGATACTTCTCCCGGCAATCTTGATTCCAGCTTGTACTTCTTCCAGGCCAGCATTTCTCATGATGTACTCTGCATATAAGTTAAATAATCAGGGTGATGCTTAGACCACGATAAAACGGGAGCATGAAGGGGACCTTGGCAAGATATGCCCCATCCCTTTACCCCTTTACCCTTAGGCCCCCAAAGATCCCTTCTTAAGGTGGGATTAAGGTGGAGCTGGGACTAGAGCCTAGGTCTTCCTGACCAATCTCACTGAGCTGCTCCCCAAAGTTCCCACCAAAATTTTCTTCCATCACAGTTGGTAGGTGATGACTCTGCCAGTTAAATAACCAAATATGAGAGGGAAAGCCTTCAGCCTTCAGCCACACTTTGGACCTGTGAACCTCTTAAACCTACTAGGGTATACTCATGGTCAGGCAGGACCTGCACAGGGGTAGTGGGGGGAAAGAGATTATTTCTCTAAACAGGGAGGAACCTGGGGCCCCTAAGAAGGATGAGCCTTGAGGGGAGGACCTTCAGGTTTCACAGGTCACCACTATGAATAGTGAAAAGAATGGCCTTTGACTATTATAAAAAAGAGGCCTGTAGATACAGGATTCAAGTCAGCTGTATAGTAGAGGGGAGTGGTGGAAAGAGAAGTAAACTCTTTTTCTTTTTTTTGGCTCTGTCATATACTAGAATTAATTATAGACACAGGAAATGTACTATCTGGTTTCTCAAAGTTCAAGTAATTCACACACTTTTATACTTTCATTAAATTATACATACTTGCACAAAAGTCAAAAGGCATATCTTATTGAAATAATAATTCTCCATCATTTTGTTGTTATTAAAAATAGTGTCTTGTTCCCCCTGTGTATTCTAATTTTATTAAGATAATATATATGAGTCATATATTAAGCCATGTTACTCAATTTCTCTACTGTTTGTAACAGGTTTTCATTTGATCCCTTTGAATTTAGGAATAAATAAAAATGTTAACAAGTGATTATAACGTTTACTTCCTTCTTTCCAATGTTTATGCTTCATTTCCTTTTTGTATCTAATTGAATTGGCTAATACTTCCAAAACCATGTTAAATAATCATGATGATAAACAATATCCTTATATTGTTCCTAACTCTAATATAATACCTTCTAGTGTTTCTCCATTAAGCATGATGTTGTGTTTTGGGTAAGGCATATCTGCTGTATCATGTTAAGGAAGTATGTATTTATTCTTATTTTATCTCACATATTTTATCAAGAATTTTACCAAAAATAAAGTATTAAATTTTATTGTTCCCCATTTATCACTTGTGAAGATAGCATATGGTTTTCTTTTTTATCCATTAATAATAAATTAATAGATGTCTTAGGATTGAACTATTTCATTATTAGGATAAATCTCAGTTAATGTGTATTATTTTTTAATGTGATAGTGTTTGACAATATCTTTAGGATTTGCATCCTTATTTATAAATGAACTTCTCATGTACTTTCTTTAATGCTTTACTTGGTCAGTTTATTATTTGTGTCATGCTTATTAAAGATCCCTTTATCCTCATTTTGTGTAATAATTTAAAATTTGCTTTATAGTTAAAAAAGATTTTTTTTAAGAGAATTGTTCTCTTTACTCAGTGTTAATTTAATTTTTATTATGTTATATGAAGATGTATAAATATGAAACTTTATATTAATGTCTTGTGCTTATATTTTTTATATTATAAACCAAAACAATGTATATAAAATAAATAAGAACCAAGCAGCAAAACATTAGGGTAATGATTATTCAAACATATTCAGACTGAAACATGCAACTTTAATGTAACATGATGGGTGTTTTAGTTTTGCCGAAATTGAACCATTGGTGTTGGTATTAAGAGGAAAAACAACTGCAGACTCACATCAGGTTCTATATTTAATATTTTTTTAACTT